CTAAGAAGCCAACATTACTTGCCAGACCTGGGCATACCATTAATCCCAGCATTCTGGAAGCAGAAGCAGGCAGATCTCTCAGTTCAAGGCCAACCTAGTCTACAGAGCAAGTTTCAGGACAGCCAGGGCTACACAGAAAAACCTTGTCTCAAAAAAGGGTGGTGGGAGGGAGGAAGAGAGGAGGAGGGAGGAAGAAGAGGAGGAGGAGGAGGAGGAAAAAGAAGGAGGAGACAGGAGGAAGAAGGAAGGAAGGAGAAGCAGCAGCAGCTACTGCCAGCATCAGGAAAATAATATACCACCTAGAAGACTTCAATTCTCAATTAAAAATAAGTGTTAGTTTAAGCTCTTGATCCGAGCAAATTTCTGATTAATACATGTGGTAATGAATGCTGAATCTCTACTTCTAAATATCACAAAAGTCATACTATTAGCTACTAAACAGTGTAAGGAAATGAAACAGTCTATTAATAAAATTTTAAAAAAAAAAAAAACTCAAGATAGTTAAGTCTAAAACTCTTACATAAAGGAAAGGCTGTGTATAATTCTAGGAAGTCTATTTTGTTTCTGCAGAGAAAGAACAAAAGGTTTATCACCTGAAGTACATTCACACTAAACAAAAGGTAAGCAGTAATAACTCAAAAATTCCAGAAGAAGCAGCCACCATGGGACTAATATACTAAGTAGCCTTGTCTGTTACTACTATTTCTTTAATCAAATAGTTTCTCAATAATAAGTCCCTTGCTGGGTGCTGGTGGCACACACCTTTAATCCCAGCACTCGGGAGGTAGAGGCAGGAGGATCTCTGTGAGTTTTAGACCACCCTGGTCTACTGAGCAAATTCCAGGACAAGTTCCAAAAAAAAAAAAGAAAGAAAGAATAATATAGTCCCTTGACATAAATATTTGATCAATGAAGAAAACTACCGCACACACTATTCTTTGCAAAAGTCATAGATTGCATCTTTATCATCTTTCTTCGAAAGTTAACTGTGGTAGACACATGTGCTACTCCTGGTTATAAGGAGTAGCACTATTAGGAGGTGTGGCCTTTTTGGAATAGGTGTGGCCTTGTTGGAGGAAGTGTGTCACTGTGGAGTCAGGCTTTGAGGTCTCCTAGGTTCAAGTTATGTCCACTGTGGCACACAGTTGTATCTGCTGCCTGCAGATCAATATGTAGAACACTAAGCTTCTTCTCCAGCATCCTGTCTGCCTGCACACCACAATGAAGATAATGAACTAAACCTCTGAAACTGTAAGCCAGTCTCAATTAAATATTTTTCTTTACAAGAGTTGACATGATCATGGATTCTCTTCACAGCAACAAAAACCCTAAGACAGTAATTTTCTATTTTGTGAACTGTGTGTTGAAATGAGCAAGGTTATTAGGTTTTAGATTATTCCAATGCCATTTCTGTCATATATAGGGTAAATATACATAGTCACATATAACCATATATAACCATGTAGATAATTATACATAAGACTATAAACACTTATTGAAGTAAATGATATTCCCAATCAACAAGCAACCTAAATCATTTTAGAGATACTATAATTTAAAGCATAAAATTAACTGCATAATATCCTGTATTTTCTAATAACAGATGTTCTACAAGACATAGCAGGCTCTTGTTAATTGCTATTCTCCTAGCTCAGTGCTTTAAGGCCCACCTTTCCTCTTTATTTCTATATTGCACTTATAAGAAATGAATTTAAAATTTAAGAAAAATTCAAGATTATTTTCACAATATATGCTGGCATTGCGGTTTCATTTTATTTCTAAAGTTGAAGTCACTGAATATGCTTCAACCTCAATTAAAATAAACTATTTTTTGTTAAATTTAAGTAAGAAAGCCAATAGCAAACTATTTCCCAATAACTGAGAGTTTATGGCCCTCCTGGAGTTTATGAATGGCTTCTGAAACTGCTCAGATTTCTTTATCTTAATATACACAACACACACTCATACATACATACATACACACACACACACACACACACACACACACACACACACACACACAACTTCTCATTAAAACATTATCTACTATCAACTGAGACTTAGCAGACAAATATTGTAATGTAACCTGAAAATTCTGGTATATTTTACAATGTAAATAGAATGTTTCATTTTTTAAATAAATAGATAAATTTGTTCCTGGTACTGTTTTGCAATGCAACCATTTCATCACAGTTTAACACATAGCCTAACATCAAGAGTGGGGAGGGAGCTAGGAGAATGAGAAGGGGAGAAGAGGAGGGATGCAGAGGACATGAGGGAGCAGAAAGGTTGAGTCAGGGGAAGAACAGCAGATAACAAGACTGGAGATACCATAATAGAGGGAGACATTTTAGGTTTACAGAGAAATCAGGCACTAGGGAAATGTCTGGAGATCTACAAAGATGACACCAGCTAACAATCTAAGCAACAGAGGAGAGGCTACCTTAAATGCCCTCCCCTGATAATGAGATTGATGACTGACTCATATGCCACCCAATAGCCCTCATCCAGCAGCTGGTGGAAGTAGAAGCAGATACCCACAAGTAATCAATGAACTGAACTGGAATCCAGATGCAGAGAAGGACAAGTGAAGAGCAAAGGGGTCCAGACCAGGCTGGTGAAACCCAAAGAAACAGCAGACCTGAACATCGGGGAGCTCTTGGTCCCCAGACAGATAGCTGGGATACCAGCATGGGACTGATCCAGACCCCAGGAACATGGGTTTCAGTGAGGAAACCTCGGAAATCTACAGGACCTCCTGTAGTAGTTCAGTACTTATCCCTAGCATAGGTGTGGACTTTGGGAGCCCATTCCACATAGAGGAATTCTCCCTGAGCCAAGACTCAAGGAGGGTGGGCCTAGGCCCTATCCCAAATGATGTGATAGACTCTGATGATACCCTATGGAAGGCCCCACCATCCAGGGGGAGCAGAAAGGATATGTGATAGGTAGGGTTTTATTTGGTGGGGGTGATAGGGGAGGACGGGAGGGAGAAGGGAACTGGGATTGTCATGTAAAACAATCTTGTTTCTAATTCAAATAAAAAAAAATCAGAAAAAAAGAAAAGGTTTAAAATAAAAAAATAGCCTAAAATTAAAAATAAAAAAATTTCCACAAAAAGTTTATAAATAATTACTCTCCAAAGAACACAGAACACAAAAATAACTAATAAAAATAACAAGCACAATAATAAAACCAAAGGCAAGTCCTTTTCATATATTAAAAGAGACATTAAAAAAATCTACCTATCAGTATGTAACTTTCTACACCACAAAGCAAGTGTGAACTTAGTTGAAAAAAAAAAAAAATGTGATCTTTAGAAAGTGTTGTATGGCATCTTTAATTTTATGACCAATGTGGTGACACTGTACCTGAGAGGATCATCTCCAACATTAATACTCTGACCACTAAGAAAACCAATATATAAAGCTTTTTTAAGATTTATTTATTGTATATACAATGTTCCGCCTACATGTATGCCCAAACACCCGAAGAGACTACCAAATCTCATTACAAATGGTTGTGAGCAACCATGTGGTTGCTGATAATTGAACTCAGGACCTCTGGAAGAACAGTCGATGCTCTTAATCTCTGAGCCATGTCTCTAGCCCCCTATAAAGTTTATAGTGAGAAAAAATATGTGTCTTTATGGTTTTCTAAAAGGGAATTCATATGTCACTAAAAGCCATATAAAATTGATTTTTTACTGCCAAATTATAATCTTCACAATTCTAGAAAAATTATGCAAGCACATATGCCATAAGATAACTATGATTTAAAAAAAAAAAGGTTTGACTGTAAAGCATCTCTTCACAAATTTTGAGCACAAAAATAAAATGATATTAAAATTCAGGTTACCTGTAAAGTGTTCCATATCCTAAAACTGACCACATCAGGTTGACACTCATTCTGATGTATCTGCTGCCATTTGCTTCTAAGACAGTGAATGGCTTTTATGCTACTCTCTTGTTTCTTTCCATACTAGACACAATCTCCAGTGTATGGAAATATAACCTTATTTTCTTGTAAAATTTATTTTCAAAATAAACTAGAATATTCAAAATATTCCATTCTTTCAAATGAAAATAAGTTGCTTGTTAACGTGACAGTGTTTCATTTACTTACCTTAAAAGATAAGCTGCTGTCTTAGGGTTTCTATTGATCCAGTGAAGCACCATGAACAAAACAGAAGTTGGGCAATATAGGGTTTATTTGCCTTATACTTCCATATTGCTGTTCATCATTGAAGGAAACAGGACAAGAACTCAAGCAGAGAGGGAACCTGGAGGCAGGAGATGATGCAGCAGCCATGGAGGGGGTGCTGTTTAATGGCTTGCTTCTCATGGCTTGCTCACTCTGCTTTCTTATAGAACCCAGGACCACCAGCTCAGTGATAGCATCCTCCACAATGAACTGACCCTTCCCTACTTACCAATAATTAAGACATGGAGTTCATGGAGACATTTTTTCAACTGAACTTCCTTTCTTTTAGATAAATCCACATAAATCTTATGTCAAGTTGACATAAGAATAGCCAGCACAGTTGCCACGCCTAAAAATTGTTTTCTGACTACATGGCTAAGCATTCAATTTTTTTTTAAATCACTAACCATGATTAGATTTCAACAATATATAGAAAACAGAATTTTCCTTTATTTTCTTGGAGCAGAAATGATAGGGATCATAAAACTTATAACAATAACTCCATCACCTTTTAGATAAGCCTGGCAAGAAACATTTCCTGTCACTTTCAGCTATCTTTACCCATCATCCCAATCAGCAAGTGCTTATTGTGGTTACTGTCTGAGCACCATTATTTCAGGTTTTGGGGATAAATTAGGTGACAGCACAAATGGTCTTCTTTTCACAAACAACTTAAGTGCAGTATAAGAAGAATCACCAAACAAATATGCCAAATAGGAAAATAATACAAAATATTAAAAGACAATGTTAATAAAGGTTAAAATGAGGCAGATAATTTGTATAAGACTGTCACAAACCTTTTACTGATAATGTGATGACCTCTAAACGTAACCAGAAGAGATGGAAGAAGGCTTGTGGATAGGTATCTAAGTCCTCAACACCCTGAGGCCAAATATACTCTTCAGAGAGCAGGATGGTCTGTGTGACTGAAAAACATGAGAAAATTTGTTCTATTTACCAAATATTTACTAAGTTCTAAAAATTATACTAAATGATTTTTATAATTACATGGTACAAATATAATAATTGGCCTCAGATGTACATATGCTTAAAATACAGAATAATAAATATCATAAGGCAATTGAGCTGGCTCTTAAAGAGGGACCAATAGTAAGTTCTTCAAAATAAATAAATAAATAAATAATCCAGAAAATCAAAGGAAGTTGTCTTAATATGGAAATCAGTGTAACATTTCTTCAGAACATTAGAAATAGATCTACCACATGACCTAACTACACCACTTCTGGGCATACACCCAAGAAACTCAATTTCCCAGTCCAGAGACAAATGCTCATCCATGTGCAGAGCTGTTCTGTCCATTATTAGAAGAGCATGGAAACTCCCTACAACTGATGAATGGGTATCAAAATGTGGTACCTATAGACAATGTAATTTTAATCAGTTGTAAAAAAAATAAATTATGAAATCTGCTTTAAATTGATTGGAGGCAAAAAGCAACTATACAGAGTGAGGCTACTCAGGCTTCGAAAAACAAAAATCACATGTTCTCACTGATATGTTTCAGGTCTAAGTATAAAATGTTTAGATTTATGTGTTTAATTTGGAGGATCTACAGAATCCAGGAAGTTGGAAAAGGATCACTGGAAAGGGAGAAGAAAAATCTTAAGGGATGAGAGGGATAGTAGAATACAGGTATATAAAGGAGAAAGGAGGAATGATAAGAACACTGAAGTTGGTAAGTCGGGAAAGGAATGTTTCCATAGGGTAGAAAATAGGAGAGAGATAACTAACTCTAATGATATATATCTAAAAGGTCATAGGCTCACCTACAATCTCTCTCTCTGTCTCTCTGTCTGTCTCTCTGTCTGTCTCTCTGTCTGTCTCT